AAAAAGGCCAAAATATTAGACTTCCCCAAGATATTGAACGAGAAACCAATTCAACAGGCTTGTCACCTACCCGAACACCATCCAAGTTTTGATGTTCTTCGACCTGGAGTACAAAAAGCCTATACATGAATTTCCGTTTAAACTATAGAGTTAATATCAATACGTATATATAGTCCGTATGCTAGATCGATACACATGAAAAGACCAAAATATCAAACTTCCCCAAGATATCGAACGAGAGAAACCAATTCAACAGGCTCATCACCCACCCAAACATCTAAATTTTGATGCTCTTCAACCTCGAGTACAAGAAGACTATGCATGACTTTCTTTTTGAACTAGAGTTAATATTAGTACACGTGAAAAGCCCAAAATATTAAACTTCCCCAAGATATCAAACAAGAGAAACCAATTCAACAAGCTCATCACCTACCCAAACATCCAAGTTTTGATGCTTTTCGACCTCAAGTACAAAAAGACTATACATAAATTTCCTTTTGAACTATAGAGTTAATATTTGTACGTACATGTATACCATATGCTAGATCAATACACGAAAAGGCCAAAATATCATACTTTCCCAAGATATCGAAGGAGAGAAACCAATTCAACAAGCTCGTCACCCTCTCTTCCCCGCCCCCCACCCCAAACATCCAAGTACTAATGTTCTTCGACCTCGAGCACAAAAAGACTATACATGAATTTCCTTTTGAAACTATAGCGTTAATATCAGTATGTATACATATTCCGTAAGCTAAATCGATACACGAAAAGGCCAAAACATCCAACTTCCCCAAACTACTAAAAAAGAAGAAAAAAAAAAGTTGGAAAGAGTTACTATAAAAGAGACTTATAGAGGGGGGAAGAAATAGGAAGAGAAGGAGAAGCCAAGGAAGAGCAAGCCTCCAACAGTCGCAATAGTGCCTTGAGATATCTTTGATGCCAACAAGCTTCCACCAATCACAGCCATTGATGTACAAATTGAATGCCCCAATATGGCTCCCACAGCCACTCCAAGAGCATTTTTGTGTGTTGCTAGCTGCAATAGAGTGGATTTCAGGTTCGATAGTGTCGAGAAGATATTAGCCTCTTACTCACCTCTTCAACATCTAGAAAAAGGTCCTCTTAGTTAAGCTCTTTCGTAAAAGCGCTATTAGGCGGTGGTTCCTCGTTTTTTTCTTTTTCCCCCGAACACAGAATCGATCTCACCATTAGCCCGACTAAGAGTTCCTAATCGAAAAAGTAAACTGAACGTCGACTTGATGATGCAAAGGAGAGGGTTCTGAAGGAATATCTTCTTGCCAAAGGAGAGGGGAACCAAGTGCCGAAAAAAAATCGGTTTAGGTAAATATCTAATGCTCTCCTTATGGCTTCCATTCAGTTCTTTCTTCCCAATCCTCCATCTTCATCTCTATACTTGTAAACATTCTGAATCTAGTCTTGTAGCTATTAGTTTTTTTAGGCAAAATCGTTTAACGTGAACCTAAGAAAAGCACGGGTATAGATCATGGACCAGTATTCAGAGTCCGGTTACGCTCCGTTTGATAACCATTTGAACAAAAACCAAGCTTATAAACACTATTTTTACCATCAAAGTTCAAATCGAGTTTCAAAAACTTACAAACACTAAAATGGTTATCAAATGGGGGCCTCAGATTTCGAGTTTCAAAATCTATTGGAAACCATGGATCAATCCAACTTCCATGGGAGTAGGAACTGGAAAATTGGAAACTAACCAGGACCAACTTGATGATGCCAAACAAACAAAACATACAATTAAACGGAATAACTTACAGCGATTGTTGCTATCTGACTTCGATCTCCCCACTCGGCAAGAAACGTCAAAATAAACGACTGCAAAGCCAAAACGATCGCCAAAATCAGCTAAGGAATTACAAATATGAAATGTAATATGCATCTCAATCAGTGATAATATAGTTAGATGCCGAATCGGTGATATAGTAAGCAGTTTGTGGACCTCCAAGAATATGGGAGTGCAAAATCGCAGAAAGAAGCGGCGGAAGGACGTCTTGGATTGTCCAGCCTCAAGCTTCTCCTCTACCTGAACACGTGATTAGTAATCAATTTCGAGAACAAGAGAATGCTAGGATCAAGGAGCCTGAATAAAGATTATAATCAATTGAATGATATGAATTCACAATCCTGTAGAGAAATCCCATATGTAGCTAAAATGGCCACATGCTTTCTTCAGAGATAACAAGATTAAAACAGACGAAATATCGATATATTTACTCATGCAAGGCGTAAAAGACAGGCAACAAGATTCGGTACGGTTCAGAGAATAAAAATTTACAAATCCAAATATCACGATGGCAGATAGCAACTAACGACACTATGAAACATGAAATACTCTTATGAGTTGTGAGACCCCACGTCGGTTGGAGAGGGGAACAAAGAATTACTTATAAGAGTGTGAAAATCTCTCTCTAGTATATACGTTTTAAAAACCGTGAGGCAGACGGCAATACGTTACAGGTCAAAGCGGACAATATCTAATAGCGGTGGGCTTGGGGATATAAGAGCCAGACACGTTGGGCCTCCAAAACGGGTGGATTGTGAGATCCCACATCGGTTGGAGAGGAGAACGAAGCATTCCTAGTAAGGGTGTAGAAACCTCTCTCTAGTAGACATGTTTTAAAAACCATGAGGTTGACGACAATACTAACCGGCCAAAGCGGACATATCTACTAGTGGTGAGTTTTAGCTGTTACAAATGGTATCAGAGACAGACAAGCTGGGCATCCCTGGATTGTCAGATCCCACATCGGTTGGAGAGGGGAACGAAACATTCCTTATAAGGGTGTGGAAACCTCTCCCTAGTAGACGCGTTTTGAAAACCGTGAGGCTGACGATGATACATAAAGAGCAAAGCGAACAATATCTACTAGCAGTGAGCAGTTGCATGAGTATAGAGATTTGATACACGGATTATATTAGTCCACTTTATATCATAGTTCATGAGTATAAAAAAGAACTTCAAGAATCAGAAATAAAACCAGATAACAAACAGAAGTGCAGACAAGAATCCAAACAAAATAAAGGGAACACAACCATCAAACTGCAAAAGGTGTGGAAGATATCATACTTCTTCCATTTCCTTTTTCGTGGAAGATTTTGAATCCGATTTGGATCTCCAAGCAATGTAAAGTAACCGCAATCCAAAAAATGCATACAGAACTGCAGAGATATAGCAGTACTTAAAAATTCTTTCATTTTTTTAAATAATAATAACATCTATAATGACGAACAATCATAAGTTTAAATTTCTTTTATTATTATTATTATTATTATTTAATTACCATAAATGGTAATAAGCCACCTGCAACATTATTATTTTTTAAATATTCCAATTATAATACACACATATATATACAAAAATAGTTTTCTTTTCTTTTATTTTAAAAACAACCAAAACTCCTATTACTCTTCCAAACGTTAATTTGTTTCAGTCATAACTTCTTCATTTCAATCTGAGTGATTCAATAGGCATTGGAATCGTTATTCCAAGCTCTACGCTATGGACACTTTAAACGCTAAAACCTACAAATAGTAAGAAACAAAAGTGTAAAATACTATGCACGTACCTGTAGCAGCATTGTTGGTATGTTTCCTCGATATCAAATTTGGCACGATCCTACCTAAACCAGTTGATAGTACCTAATGGGCATGGAAACAGTTCTACTCTTATTTTCCGGAGAAAGAAACGTGACGTGCAGTTGTAACGAGTTCAAATAACACATACAGAATCAGACTATGAAAATGAAGAATCTATTCGACTTACTGTCATTACAATCAGAGCAGTGAGCGCACCAGATAAAACAATGGACTTGGGGTGGCGCATAGCCATAAGTGCAGCTATTATAAACGTCTCGTCTCCAATCTACACACAATCATTCCAGAAAAGTTAAAATAATTGAACTTGAACAGGCAAGAAGTTAGGTTCAAAACATTCATTTCCCATCTCGAGTCTTTTCAGTTCATGTTGATAACTCTAGAATCAATTACACCAACCTCACTGACAATTATCATGGACAAACTTGCAAAAAACGCGTCGAAGACTCCGAGGCCAATGGAGTCCAGGTCAAGGTTAAGATCTTTTGAGTCCACACCATCCTTATTTGCAGCAACCGTATCGGCGTTGCTCAAGGAAATCTAATGAGGAAATACAGACAAGTATAACGTTGTGAAAGAACTGAAACTAGAATTTAAAGAAGAAAAGAAAAGAGTTCCACAAGATGCTCCAAACAAGGCAAAAAAATCATTACTTAAAAGAACAGCTAAAACCAAAAATGAGCAAATAACTAGTTACTACTAAAGTTCCCTAATTTCTGGATCAGAAAACATGCCTGTTATATAGCTTTTTAAAACAAAGAATAGCAGAAAAAAGAATTTCAGATGTTTTCTTAGTAGTTCTGTCAAACCTTACTACTTCATATTGAAGTACTAAATGCATTTTAAGAATTAACTTATTAAAGCATATTAAATTTTCAAGTTCTTAACATAGCTAAAAAAAATGTAACAACCCAAACCTAGGCCCAAACTCACCACTATCAGATATTGTCCTCTTTGGGCTTTCTTTTTCGGGCTTCTCCTCAAAGTTTTAAAACGCGTTTTTCAGAGTTACGCAGCGAAACTGGTACTCATCTAGATACTATCCTCTTTGGGCTTTTCCTTTCGAACTTCCCCTCAAGGTTTTTGGGCCTTCCTTCCTGAGTTTCTCCATTACTTTCTCCATTACGCGTTTGCTAGGGAGAGGTTTCCACACCTTTATAAGGAATGCTACGTTCCCCTCTCCAACCGATGTGGTATCTCACAATCCACCCCACTTGGGGGCTAGTGTCCTCGCTGGCACACCGCTTGATGTCTAGCTCTGATACCATTTTAACAGCCCAAACCCACCACTAGCAGATATTGTCCACTTTGGCCCATTACATATCGTTGTCAGCCCTACGATTTTAAAACGCGTCTATTAGGGAGAGGTTTCCACACCCTTATAAGGAATGCTTCGTTCTCCTCTCCAACTGACGTGGGACCTTATGAAAAAAAATTTCAAACAGCCTTTAAATTAAAACCTACATTCTGAAAACTCTTCCTATAGGCTCCTAAAATATCATAAACCCAAAGTCAGGTGACCTTCTTCAAGTTACTCCAAAACAAAACCAGCAACACCAATTGAATCAATACATGCCAGTTCCAATGGTATTAGCTAGAGGGTACATAATATATCAACCCATCTTCCACACAGCCCCCTGGAATTTCATCGTTTCCCCTTTTCATACACAAACAGGTAGCAAAAAGTTCTGAACTCTCAACAATTAAAATCCCCAATAGTTAGTTCCATTACAATGTACAATGAACCCATAAGCCCCCTCCTCCTAGTTAGGAATCCGGATCTCCACAATGATATGATATTGTCCACTTTGAGCATAAACTCTCGTGGTTTTGTTTTTGGGCTTCCCCAAAAGGCCTCATACCAATAGAAACGTATTCCTTACTAATAAACCCGTGATCAATCCCTAAATTACAACATGGGATTCCCTCCCAACAATCCTTAACAATCCTCCTCTCGAACAAAGTACACCATAGAGCCTTCCCTGAAGCCTATGGAGCTCTCTAGTAGCCTCCCCTTAATTGAGGCTCGACTCCTTTCTTTGGAGCCCTCAAACAAAGTAAACCCTTTGTTCGACACTTGAGTCACTTTTGACTACACTTTCGAGGGTTCCAACTTCTTTGTTCGACATTTGAGGATTCTATTGACATAGCTAAGTTAAGGGCACGACTCTGATACCATGATAGGAATCCGGATCTCCACAAAGATATGATATTATCCACATTGAGCATAAGCTCTCATGGTTTTGTTTTCGGGCTTCCCCAAAATGCCTCATACCAATCGAGCTGTATTATTTACTTACAAACTCATGATCATTCTCTAAATTACAAGATAGAACTCCCTCCAAACAATCCTCTAACACACTCGCCATGGCCACCACCACAGCATCGGAGTCCTCACCAAAAATTTCACATGCATCATAAAATATCTTCATCCAAAGCAAAAACAAGAAAGATAACGAATCGCACTCACCTTACTCCGTCGACCGAGATCTTTAGGTCCATCCAACTCCACTTTCTCAACTTCCGCAGAAAAACCCTAAAAAACCCCAACACATTACAAAATCAAACCCATAAGAACTCCATAGACACAGAAAAAAGGTAGAGAAATGGCAGATTAATACCTGAACGGAGGCAAACAGAGAAACGAGAAGAAGAAGAAGGAGAAAAGGTGAGAAAGAGAGATTCCGAATAGGGTTTGAACGCAAACCCATTGAAGAAGAATGGATTAGTAGTAGATGGAATTTGTGATTCTGGGAATCGGAATCGGAGAATGATGTTAAGATGGTGGGATCTCTCTCGATTGAAAATAAGATCAGATCGGCATTGGATTGCTGCCAATTGTAGACCAATAAGGATATCTTTCTTACAAGCTAGAGATCCACCATAGCCAACAAAACCAGGAAGCTTTTTTATTTTATTGTTTATTTTTTCCAGAGTATTATTATAAGTGTGAATTAAAGTAATGAATTTATTATAAATTAGGGATGTTGATCGGTCCGCTTGACATGCCGTGAATCCTCTTGAAAGAGAGGGGTGCCTTTGGGCAGGTGGTGCATGGCTATCGTTAGCTTATGTCGTAAGGTGTTGGGTAAAGTCCCACAACGAGCACAACCCTCGTATTTAGTTTCCAACCGTTGAGGTTAGAACCCTGAGCAGACTGTCGGTGATAAGCTGGAGGAAGGCGAGGATGATGTCAAGTCATCATAATTTGACCGCTAAAATATACAATAATCTCATAATTAAATAGAAAATAGTTAGAAATTATAGTACATTGATTTTTATAGTGATTCAGGTCAAGCTAGAGTATTTTTTTTACTGTTTTCACGAATTAAAGTAAAACTGCCCGAGTAAATTCAATTCTTTCCACGACTCGTGATCAAATATCAAGAACTTTTGCTAAAATAACGTACAAACGTGCATCCACCCACTCTCTTTTAGGTTTATGTTGCTACCTTCGGGTGTTGAAAAACTCATTGATTCTCGATACCGAGCTACTAAAGGAGGTAGACCTTCAGTGTCACCTTGAGGGAAGCCAGCCGTTTTCCCAAACTTAGCACATTTTTGGTGGTAGCCATTCTACTTCGATTGACACGTTGCAGTAATAGAAAAAAAATGTCGTAAGTCGGGGGTAGCCATATCGTAAGGCCATTACCGAAACGTCAATAAATTTATTATTTATTTTTTAAAAAAAGATTAAAAAAAGAAAAAGAAAAAAGAAATGAATGCATTAATAATTGTTTGACTTATAATGCTGAAACAAGATTGCTTATTTTAATAATAAAAAAAAAAAAGACCAAACAAAGAGAAATTTGTTCACCATTCACGAGGGCCGTTCTTTCTTGTTCAGAAAGGCCTATGAGTGCGTGATTTGCGCGAATGCTTCTCCAGCTGCTATCAATTCAAGAGTTCTTGATGTTCAAGAACAAAATGAGAAGCTAAATCACTCAAATTCCACTTTCTCGACTTGTAAATCTTCTCAAAACCTCTCGAATTTCTCCATTTTTCTCAGAATGTCGCCTTATGGCGTCGTATTTCGTCTCATTTTTGTGCTGTTTCTTGCCCACGACGCCATTGAAGCGACCTCAAACCACGTGAGTAATCGAAAATCGAAACCTCATTTGGTTCCGATTTTCTCCAAATTGATTAGTTCAGTGAGTTGATTATGTGTTTTGTTTTTTTTTTTGTTTTTTAGGGTAATCGGTGGTCCGATCAAGAACCGATGATGGTGCCATTAATGGAGAACGTTGAGACGATGACGGCGGTGGCGATGAATGGCAATCGGCGCCAGCTGAGGAGCTTCCAGGTTTGTGCTCTCTGTACCTGCTGCGGCGGCGCCAGAGGAATGTGCCTTCCTTCTCCCTGTTGCTATGCCATAAACTGTAACATTCCTAATCGGCCCTTTGGCTTTTGCTCGTTTACTCCCAAGACCTGTAACTGCTTTGGCTGCCATATTTAAGCTTTGTTCTTATATCTATCTCTGTTTATGACATTGAAAATTGTTCTTAATTGTTCGTAATTGTTCTTAATTGTTCATTGTTCTGATAGGAGAGATATCATAGCTTGTGCCATTTTGCTGATTGTTTCCAAGATTTGGCTTGTTGGGCTCTGTTTAATGGCTTTAATTGTGTTAATCTAAATGCCTTTTTCTTGATTTTGTTTGTTTGTTTGTTTCTGATCAAAATCTAGAGGGGCTTCTTTTTTCTTTACTTTCATTGCCTTTTTTTGCTACTGTTTTGATTCATTCCACCATACTTTTTCCCTTTTTGAAATAACTTTTTAGTGAGGTGACCTCTTCTCACCTGAGGCATGTACTTTGGTGAGAAGCTTCTTTGATGTCTTACCTTTTGATTTTGATTTGGAAATGATAATGAATGAGAAGACATCATCGTTGACGGTTTTTGGGATGCCCTGCCACGATAGGCGGGTTGGTTCCTCTGTTGTCGGCGGAAGATCTTTAGTGCGGTAACCTCTTCTCGCCTTAGGCATATACTTTGGTGGAGAGACTTCTTTGATATCTTACCTTTTGATTTGGAAATGATCATGAAAGAAGAAGTCATTATCGTTGATGGTTTTGGGCCGTTCTACCATAACAGGTGGGTTGGTTCCTCTGCGATCGACGGGAGCTCTTTAGTGAGGTGACCTCTTCTCGCCTTAGGCACGTACTTTGGTGGAGAGGCTTCTTTGATGTCTTAACTTTTGATTTGCAAATGAAAATAAAAGAAGACGAAGCATTGTCATTTTGACGGTTTTTGGGCTACCCTACCATAACAGGTAGGTTGGTTCCTCTGCTATCGGCGGAAGCTCTTTAGTGAGGAGACCTCTTCTCGCGTTAGGCACTTACTTTGGTGTCTTAACTTTTGATTTGGAAATGAAAGTGAAAGAAGAAGACGCATTGTCGTTGACGGTTTTTGGGCTACCCCACAATAACAGGCTGGTTGGTTCCTCTACTGTCGGCGGGAGCTCTTTTTTGAGTTGACCTCTTCTTGCCTTAGGCATGTACTTTGGTGAAGAGACTTATTTGGTGTCTAACTTTTGATTTGGAAATGAAAATGAAAGAGGAATACGCATTGTCATTGACAATTTTTGGGCTACCCCACCATAACAGGCGGGTTGGTTCCTCTATTGTCGGCGGGAGCTCTTTTTTGAGTTGACCTCTTCTTGCCTTAGGCACATACTTTGGTGTCTTAACTTTTGATTTGGAAATGAAAATGAAAGAAGAAGACGCATTGTCGTCGACGGTTTTTGAGCCGCCCCGCCACAACAGGCGGTGGGAGCTCTTTAGTGAGGAGACCTCTTCTCGCCTTTTAGGTATGTACCTTTGGTCACCTCGATACAAATTATTATCAAATGGGCTAATCCTCTTATTTTGTTTTTGCTTAGCTTCTTGTTTGATAACAGAAATGAGTAGACATCACAAATTGATAAAAAGCTTTTCCCATCAAGTGAAGCCAATGGTTGGTCTGCAGAAACAACAACATGGCAATCATTTGTTGAACTTTGATGCTTGAGAAAGGTGCAAATTTCTGCTTCCCTATTTCTTTGTTTTTGTGAAATTACGAAAGTACCCCTAAATTCAACTAAGCTTCAAATTACAAGTTTAGTCCCATAAACTATAACGTTGTGTCGCGTCGTATAGATTTTTAGTTTTCAATAAGTATCTTGGAGGTAACGGTTATATGTTTAATGGGTATTTAACTGTCTTATTAGTCTCTGAATGTTGAATTTGTCTGACGAACATATTAGATACAAATTTAAAAATTGTTCGAGTTTTAATGAGTGGTAGATGATGAGTTAGGTGCGAATTTATGCTTCCCTATTTTCTTTGTTTTTGTAGTGTAATTATCAAGTGAAATTACAAAAGTACCCCTATTAGCTTTTAGGATTTCCTTAGAGTTCAACTAAAAACAACTAAAAACAGCGTTAATAGTTTAACGCTGCATCGTAGAGATCTCTAATTTTTAAACCGTGTCTTGGAATTAACGGTTATATGTTTAACCGTCTGAATAACGTATTACGTACAAATTTAAAAATTTTCCATAGAAGCGAGTGAGGGATGATGAGATATATGTGAGGAAGGAATTAATGAGAAGGAGATGGTAGCTGGGTGGTAGCCCCATTAAACCTTATCCTGCTTCACTTCCCCCAGTTGTGTGCTCATGTCATGTGCCAAATCTTTAATGCTTTCACTTTTTGGTCTTTTATGTCAACCATTAGTTCAAAAGTCGTCCAGTTGTCATCAAGTTCGGTTTGATAATCTTTAAATCTCGATGACTATATCTATCTAATTATAAATTTTAAAGAGGAGTTTTTTATATATTGAAAATGAACGTTTCGTTCACACAGCCAAAATATCAAAATCTACTTTGATTTTATTTAGAATCAAATAAAACTAAAAATCGAGCAAACTTAGAAATATAAATAGAATTGAGAAGGTATATATTCTGATTGATATTGATATCTTTTTAATAGCAACTAATACCTAGCTACAAGGAAAATATAAACTAATTACATATTGAAAATAAAATAAAATAAAATATAAATCAAATTATAGCAGCTTGGTTCTCCAACGGTTGAATACGAACCATGTTAATACATAAATTTTATCTTATCAGTGATTTATTGATTATGATTTAAATATATATTTAGGTTATTTGAAGCAAAAACATAGTGGGTTTAATGTTAATAGATTATGTATATATTTGAGTAATTTTAAAGTAAATGCGAAGTAAGTGATTTTAAATATTTTATAAAAAATTGTCCAAAATGTTTTTATCGTTCTAGTGTCTACGTAGCTTCTAATTAACATTTAGTACACGTTGGAGAAGGATTCTTGATTATTTTAGGAGCTATGTACACAAAATTAGATCGATAGAAAATCAATTTTATTAAATCTTTCTCGACCGTTTGAAAATTTTATTCTATTAAGACACATCATTCTAGATTCTAATTTATTACATTAAAATATTTTTAAATAATTTTTTATTTTTGTTATGGATAATTTCTTTAAAACTAATTATTATTATTTTTGAACTTTAGGTCTATCTTTATCTTCCGAAAAGGCATTTATTGTATTTAATTTTATGATAATGTTGAACTATGTTAGTATGTTAATATATATATATATTATTTAAGATTGATAAATAAAACCTATCACTAGTAGACGCGTTTTAATAGACTAAAGCATATAATTCAACAAATAATTTTTTTTCATTAACTTTGAACAAATACACAAATTTCTCAACCAAACATGGCAATACATGAAATTACAACATCACCCCTAATCCAAACCCTAATTTATTAAAAAAAAAAATCCCCAAAAATAAGAAATTATTACCCAAAAAAAAAAAAAAAAACCCATATATATATATATATATATATATATATATATATATATATA